AAATAACATCGTGGTTCGTTTGTCACCTTAATACTAGATATTTGTTAGACTCCAATCCCCTAGATGTTCGGATTAAGTGACGAATTATACATTTTTTTTTCTCTCGACACAACCTCGCGATTATTCCGCTCGGTTCGTAAGTTTGAGATATTCGTCTTAAGGATTAAGGGGTGCTTTCCGGGAACGAAATTTCACGGAATACCCTTGATGGATGGATACAGCAGTCTTAATTCCGCAATTTCGGGGTGTAAAATAGTGAAAGAGGCGAAGAATACGACGTTGACATTAATGGTACCATGTTTAATATCAAATTTCTTTTATTACGTCTCTTATCAGAAGACTCGGAGTCTTATAACGTTGATATATGTTTATTCATTACGCTAAGTGAAAATGTAACAATAATTTCATATTTTGAACACGACATGTCAATTAATATAATGTGTAATTAATGTTCAAACATTTGGTTGTCTGTTTTACGTTTTGCTAAATACAATTCAATTTCATAAAATACAAGTTGTGAAATCTTAGCTTATATTACTTCAGCAATTATGTAATGGGAAGTATAATATATTAATATTGCTGAACATTATTCTGTTATATTTAAAATAACAAAGATTAGAATAAAAGAGCTAAAATTAGATAACAAATATTAGTGTAACAGAAAACGATCGATCGACAAGGCATAAATAAATTAATAATGTAAATCCCAAATAGATGAAAATGATTCGAAACACAGCATGCCAACATATGGAAATTTAAAAACGGCAGTCATTCATTAAACAAACACGCATTAAATTTAACGAAGCGCTGCCATATTCGTTAACGAATTTCCGGCTTTCATTATGATTGTCCCACGGACGACACCAATGAATGCATCTCTTTCAATCTTACTGTTAAACACAAGGGGCGATAGGGATAAATGCAAGTTCTTATTTCGAAAAAGGAACACTATTAATCCCTCGACAATCCGTCACAAACATGCGTTTAATAGCTGCAATTAAAGGCGACACTCAGAGGCCTACCGAAATATCGCGACATAAAAATGTCGTTGTTACCGCGTATCAAATTGTTTAACACATTCGGCAGCGCAGCCCGCTTTTACGACTTGTCGCGCGTTTATGACAACCATCCAGGCCGATTTGTGATATGGTTCAGTTTTAAATTTAGAACCCTGTGTTGGTATTTTCTTTTTAATTTAATTAAATAAATTGGATGTTCAGTGATTCAGTTTTAAATATAGAATTGTATCTTTATTGCTAAGTATAGAATATTTTAAAACATATAAGAACACGGAGAAGTTAAATGTATTTAAATTTAACTTCTCCTCCGTGTACTACATACTGGTTTTTTTCCTGTAGACTTCATTCTTAGACCGAAACATAAAATACAAATGAACCTAAATATTTTTGATTAAATATGAAATAGTTGTATTTTACAGAAACTTCTAGAAGTTTTCTTAAAATAAAACAGTTTATGCATTCTCGTTACTGTAATTAAAACACGGAAAATATAATTTTAGGCTATTTGGAAAAATTATGATTTTTTTCCATATAGCCTATATAGCCGTTAAAGAGCTGGAAGCACGAACCAACGAAAATCATTCTAAAAATAAAAAAAAACCTTCTATAAGTCTGTCAGTAAAATACAAATCTACTATACAGACAATATTACTACTGAAAATTGTTATTTAGTATGATTAAAACAAATATTTAAAATAACTTGGTAGATCAAAGATTGACATAATTTGTATTAATTGTCCTGCTACACGAAATGAAGTCTTTGACATCGGACGACCCAAATTAAAGATTAAACGGCACTTCTATTATACCCGACAAATTATCCCAAATTTGGGAAAACCAAAACACAAAATAAATTCAAAGCCGCAAACAAAGGGCGAGGAAGAACAGACCGCGGAACGACAAATGTCGTCCTAAACGACAAATAAAAGCAGCGATAGTTTAAATTGGGAACCCCAAAAACTGAATGTAAACAAACATCGAACCCAAATTTTGGTGGTAAAGTTTTCGGACCAACTGAAAACATTGAAAGCACGCGGTGGGATCGAAAATGTTCGTTTGTAATTTGCAGGCCAAGTTATAACTATCGCTTTGTTGAAGCAACACGTAGAATGTTACCCGTTGAAAGTAAATATGACTTCTGGGAACAATTTGCAATTTTCAAACGCCGTTTGTGAACCGCTCATGTTTTTTGAACCTATTTGTGCAGTAATAACTGGAATGTTACTTTATATTCTGAAAAATATCAAAAATAAATATCGCTTCTGAATGGTCCTTGTTTGCTCTTCTATCTCATAAAGTAAAAATTGAAATTATTCATAACTAATATTAAACGTACCGATATTAAAATTGATCTACCTAAAAAAATTCAAATATCTAATACGTCGTCGAACCTCAATTGCAACTCAAAAGCTATGTTACACCATTAATAACAGGCACCAATAATTAATCGCACGGCTTGCTAGTTTTAAATATTGATGAATGTTAGTTAGTCAAAGTTATGATTAATATATTTTATAACTGAAACCGAAGAAGCATGACGAAATGCCAGTGAAATATAAAATTCAAATGACCCACTAACGACTCCAATCGGAGCACACTAAGAGAATTTCAATTAAATTGCATTCAATGAAATCTAGGACGATTATAGAATCTGATGGTGGGCAAATTAAAGCGGTATTCCCTAGGATTTCCTGTTCAATTTTCATGGAGTGCGACACGATAAAAATCCATTACGAAAGCGCCGCAAGAGGCCTCTGTGTCACCGTGCTGCTCCAAAAGCAAGATTGCAAGTTCTCTAGAAGGGACTACTGATTACTTTGTAGAGGATTAAAACAAGATCTTTACAACAACTTCTGTTACTAAAAGATTCTCTAGGTCGTGTTTAATGTTATTCTATCATAGATTCACTAAATAAAAGCATAAAATTAACATATTATTAAGTAAGTACTTACAAAAAATTTAAATAGAACGGTAATAGCTTTTAATAAATTTAATTTTATAGTTATTAAGAAACTTTGCAAAGTACTAATAACGTAGTACCACAACTTAGACGGTATAAATTGCACGCTCCACAAATAAAAGTAATAAATTTTTATGTATATCGCGACATTATGCGATTTTATATTTACAGTAGTCTAGACAATGTCATTAATGCCTGATCTAGTGGAGAAAGGTTTTTTTATGTTGCCAAGAATACCAAACAAATTTTGAATCAATAATATATACATATGTAAGCGACGCGTTCTGTGCCATAAAAAACAAAATAATTAAAATGATGTTTGTCCATGTTATTGTCTCTGCGTGCGGTATCGTAGTCGTTTTTAAAAAAACTTATAACCGACGCAACGGACGCCAGGCAGTCTGTACCTAGATGCGATCGACACCACACGTCTTATCTCTAATTAACCTTATAAAATTTATGTGTCGAAAATAAATCCAATTGTTTTAAAAGTCTTCGTTTTTGCCATCACCGTGACCTACCATATTTTATACCATACAATATATATATACAATTTAATAACAATGTAAAGCGTAATGCCGCGACTAATAACAAATCAATTAATAGATTCAATCACTCTACAACAAATATTTAGAAAACACCCGGCGTAAACTTCCGAATATCTTCGGATTGTTATTCAGGGAAGGCGACAATAAAAGCGATACTGCAATAACACATCTAGTGGTGCTTTAGAACGGATATCCAGGATTTAACCGTAATGCGATTCCGCGCAATCACATGCTTCATTTTGCATTTCGGCAAACACTTTTGCTGGCGTATCCTGCAAATTTTAAATACGTGGTGTGCAAAGTTGAAACCTTTTATTATCCCATTCAGTAAAAATCTTGTCTACTAATCGCTCTTATTGATATACTTTAATTCAGAAAGATATCTTGGATAAATTAAAATAATAAAATCATATATTATGAGTATTTTTGCTTCATATATTTCTAGACCCGTTTCTATTTCGTAATTTCACGTTATTTTTGTTTCAGAGATTAAACGATGTTGTATTATTAAATCAGTAGGTTTAACAGATTTCTGCCAAACAATCTTGTACTTATAATGATCAAAACATCAAAAGCAATCGAGAAAATCGTAACAACGATTGGTCTTAAAAGGCCGTTGTTGAATCGGGGAAACAAAATAAATGGCAAATGTATAAAAACAACTTAGATAGCTTTTGACATACGAAATCGGAAACGTTACTTCTACAAAGACTCCGATTTCAGAGGGCGATGGCATTGAATCAAAATTACAAGGCCGATTTGTATCGGAAGAGGTTTTATTGGAGACGTTGGAACTAACTTGTGTATTTATTTGTGAACTTTTAACGCTATCAAATAGAAATCAATTGGAAAGGATTTTGTTATGATATTCTCGAACATATAAACTTTGAAATATACAGAAATAGAAATACAATACGGAATCTTATATGTATATTTGTTTATAATAATATTAGATTCTATACTATTCCTCATTTTGTAAATTTATACATAATATAATATGTATAAATTTACATTATTTTGTTAGTCGGTTTACGTTTGGACTTAGATTGCAGTGTGACGATTATCTACAGTTATTTATTAAGTCTTTCAACAAAGATACTATATAAGATAAAGATATTTTTATATAACTACCTATCAATGCACACCCCATAAAGGATTTAATTATTAAATTAAAATTTTAATTACCATCTATCTGCTACACTTTATTTTTTGTGATCGTGGCGGTAGAAACGCTGCCGAAATATCGGGAACTCAAAATAAATAAAAGGTTGTAAGATCCCGTAATTTTTCCTAATTACACGTATAAATAATGGCCGTGTCAAATATAAAACTGTTCATTCATTCATAATTTAAGAGCTGTGCTCTTATCGGTGGTCGACACCTTTCACAATCTTCTCAGTCTTTTTAGCTATTGTTACGACACGAGTCCAACTTGTTCTTTAACATATTTGATATAGCTGATATAACAATTACCGTTTTGCACGAGAAGAGTGGAGTCTCTCGCGAGCGGCAACTCAGAATCTGTGAGCGTGGCGTCGGACGCGTTGTCGGACGCCGACGTCGGTGTGGTGGGCGCAGTGGGCGAGTCGGACAAGCCTCGGCTACGCGCACGCCGGCGGCCGCTGCCGTTGCTAGATCCGCTGCCGCTGCCCGAGCCGTACGGGTGCAGCCGGCCCAGGCCTGCAAACAGATTATTTTGTATGTTAGTTAATGATAAAACAGTCGATTGCCGCTTCTTGAAAGAATATACGACTAATCTATATTAAAATAATCTCAATAATATAGAAATAGTCATATGCTATCCAAAAGTGCGTATATCAAATTAATTTGAAATAAGATTATTTCATTAAAATTGTTATATAATAGATTGTCTCTTTAATACATATTTGAAACTACATATTTGAAACTACAAGTTTATATACAGTATTAATACGAGTTTAACATAATACCAATTAAAACTGACGCTGCAATTGACACTAGTACGTTGTGCAATCGACACATAAGCGTAGCTAAGCTAGTATGCTCTTCATCAAAAGTTGTCAAAAGGGTTACACATGCAACACAAGTTGTATACATCTAAATTATTTATTCTCAAGCTGATATGTATAGTTAAATGGAATAGCGCTGTAAACTACTCAATTTCAGCTTACGCCCGTCTACGCCAAGTCTCACTAGTTTAAATGGAATAGACGCTAGTTTTAACTTTAATCCCGTTGAGGCTTCTAGACTGTTGCATACTGGTATAATCAAGAGCTATCATGATGAGATCGATTAATAGAAAGGATTTGAGGGACACGTAGTTTCAATTAAGGAATTTGTTCATGAAATAAAAAGAAACAAAAACAGCATAATAATTACTATAAAAACACATTTAAAGAAAATAAACACAAATAGAAACCTAATAAATTTAATGTTATAGAAAAGTTACTTAATATAAGTTCGAGAGTTGTGATTTTGTATTCGTACAATAAATGTAATTGACATTTGTGAACATCATCTTGCAATGAGATAAAGTCTAAAATGACTACAGATTTCATATTATTTAGAGGTGTAAAATCAGGGAAAAGTCAAACGATATTATTTTTTTTCTATTGGCTACGCTATTCTAGTAGAATAAACTATATTTTGTATTCTATCAGGGAATATTCTACCGAGAATTTATTCGCGTAGACAAAGCCGCGGTAAATATCTAATCCCGCCAGTGTGTTTACATTCTTCACTGGATGGAAAAAGCTGTTCGTTTTATTATTTCATTAAATAAAGACAACGAATTTTGAGCACAAAAAGATGACGTCATACATAAATAAAAGAACAAACGAATAAATACGATCGAATGTAAGGAGATAACAATAAAACGAAAGACAAAAGCCAAAGCTCTCAAAAGCTACGAAAAGCATTTCAAATTTAACCAAGATTTTTCCATACATTAAGTACTTGTCTACAGACGTTGGAGAGAAATTCTATAAAAATAAATAACAACGAAGCCACATAAAGAAATAAACATAGAAAGAGCAACCGTAATTAGAAATAATAAGGCTTCGGAACATGACAAAGAGCACAATAAGAATACTCCGCCTACAAATTTTAATATAAATGAGGAAAATACGTTGTGATCTGTGGAGTATTTACCAATGGAATCATTAGGTATAGAATGAATTGAAGATGTACAAAAGACAGCAACAGAAAAAGTAAATAACTAAATAATTAATGCTTTTTGAGAGACACTTTTTGGAAACAAGCTTATACATATCTTATGACGATCCTGACTTAATGATCAGATAATGATCAAGATCGAAATCTTACCTCTCAGAATTTAGTTTCGGTGTGTCAATTTTAATTATAGCAGAATCTGTCTGACTTCTGAATCATCAAAGGAACCAAAAAAGCCGCTTTCAACAAATAACTGGATAGGAGTAAATGTATGCAACATTTATTTATTAATTTTTAGTATTGTTTTCACAACCATCTGATGAATTACAGCAGCAAACATTGATTTCATAATCCAAAAAAATCAGTTAGAAAACTTATATTAAGTTGAAGAAGATGGAGGTTGAATAAGTCTTCAATCTTCTATTAGCTAAACTATCTTTTAAGTAGAACTAAACCATACACGTATGCCAAATTTTATAAAAATTAATTAATTAATTTGGAATATCTCCTGGACAAATAACGAGTAATTTTCCTTTCTAATCGACGAAGTTTCGAATGGATATCAAACATTTTATCCTTCTTTCGAATATTTGGAGTGATATTTACGAAAATTACTTACATACAATCATATATACTTTTTCTAATATCTGCCGTTATATAGCTTTAATATTTTGTTATTACTATAGCATAAACAGATAATACGAGACACGACATTCGTAGAAATAGAAATATTATTTTGTCAAACACAAAAGAAGACGACGTGTCAGCGAATAAGTGAATTCACGTAAGAATACCAGTGAAATTATGTTTGTCGTACATATTGTTAGAAAAATTAACTCCGCGTATGCTCGAACTGAATATATATATAAAGCATCAAGGAAAACACGTTGGAAATGTGACTGAATTTTTTCAACACATAGCTTTACCTGTAATCAGGGTGTCTTTGATGTTTGGGAGTCTTATTAAGTAATGCTGTGGCTGGCTTCTGCGAGGGAAAAATGCGCCTCTTACGTGTCGCATTTAAGATAGCTGATGTTCGATGGAATATCTTTGACTTTATGATGTTCGCGGCGAAGTATAAGGAGTGTTTACTGTATGCCTTTTAGTATTCAATGGAGAAAAGAAGATGGATGGATTGTGATAAAGATGATATGTATAAAAGGAGAATAAGCTCATATAACGGCCGATAGGGATCAGTGGAAGAAGATGACATACTGCTCCGACCCCAAATAATGAGATGAAGGAAAAGCAATGATGATGAATGGAGAAAGCAAGAAACATATACCTACTATGTATCATAATGCAATATAATGTATTTTTCATTAATAGATTACTATTTATAACTAATGTTATAAATGCGAAAGTGAGTTTAGGTGATACGCTACCACCCCTTAGCAATTCTATATAAAAAAGCATACCATCAGAACAGTTATCCCAGATGGGATAGTCAGAGGTATTGTCAAATGTCGATGAGGTAAACAGAAGTCTCAACATCCCCACATTTCGCTGGATATATCTGTATCTAAAAAAATAATCTAAGAGACTAGCACTCTCATTATTTTTACTAAACAATAAATTAGAAATATGGACACACAAGTTTTTTTGGCATTTGACCACTCACGACCTATTGAATGGATCTCTAGTAACAACTGTCATTACCATACTATTTGGCACTTGCGATGGAAAAGGACACTGCATATTTTTACGTTCAATCACAGTTATGTGGACAACATCGCAGGCTTGTAGTCTATACATCAGATACGAGAAAATAACTTTAAACTCTGTTACTAGCAGGAGTCCTGAGATGTTAATGAGCTGTAGCAGAGTAACTTTTGATGGAATAGAATTAGGATCAAATCAGAATCGCGTTGACTGGCTAACATTAACATTTAGACGACATTGCTAAATATTTCGTTATATACACAGATTATTAACAACTTCTCACAGATACAATTTTTCTTTACTAAGATGGTGGTAAACCAGCATACGGTCCACCTGATGGTAATCGGCGCTTACGGACGCCTGAAACACCAAGGAAGTCACGAACGCGTTATCGACCCAAAATTATTGGAACATAATTTTTGTTCAAATATTAGCCGCTGATAATGATTTTTTTAGTATATTGGGAATTGCAAACAATCTGACAGGCTCACGTGAAAGGTAAAATTAGTCATTAACCACTCAAGCGTTTGCTTCCAGAGGACTAACATGTCACGGCTCTTATCTTGTAACGTTTGTCACTTCCTAATCGGTACCTATAACCGATACATAGTTTACAAGATTCCTTACTTAGCAGCTGAAATAGGTGAGACTAAGGTACTCAGACAGATCTTTTCAGAGTCATCTGTATAAGTACATATATTACAATCTATTTTTACATAAGTATAGCCACTATTGTATAATATACTATTAAATATACTAAACAACTATTGCCAATTATATTAAATATGTATAAATGTGTAACTATGTAACTATACTAATATTGGCAATTTTTGGATTTTTATTATTATTATTTGTGTGTTTCGCTTTCTCAGCCTTTTTGCTGGGGTTTATTATTATTAAGTGAAAGGAACTTTAAAATTGATTGATTATTTTATGAATTTATCCACTACAAACAAATACTTAATTTTTTTCTCTTTACAATATTATTTTAGATTTACATTTCTATACTTGCTATTCCAAGAAGGTGCGTATTATAAATTCATTATAAAAATACCCGATAATTCCGCTCCGATATCTCGTTATAAATTTCATAAAGAGCTCCAACTAAAAGCCGGGTAATATTGTTTGAAATCTCTCAGTCCCGACTACAGACTAATCGTATGAGGTCATTAAGAAAAAAGTATCGGAAAGGAATAAACTGGGCATGGTGAAGAGCTCTCAGCTCGCAGTGAAAACTTTTTAATTTAAGGCAAACATCTCAAGAGGCTCAACTCAAAAGACTCGCAGGAAATAAAATTAGTTTTTTATGTACCTACCTCATTACTGGACTCCGTAATTGAGTATGAAGTGTGCACGTGAAAGATTTTTCAATGCTTTGAATTGAAATAGGTCCTGTATGCTTTGGTTTGATTATTAGGCTCTTTAAAGGAAAGTTTGCAATTTGCTAAATTTACCGTAACTAGCCGCGAATAGCTTGAAAGCAAGTTTAAAAACTACTGAGGTATACATAAATTAGGTATATATCCTAAGTAGCATAGCATCTAAAATTAACTATATATAAATACATGGGTACAGATTACAATGCACTATGTAGTTCCAAACTATGTAGGACTTGTACTATAGGTACCACAAAGTTAGGCGTTTTTTTTTCACAAATTATATCTGTTGTCTATAAATAACTGCTTTAGTCCTTTGTTATGCACAACCTTACTATATTTTTTGTGCCCAATAAAAGACGCTCGTAAAATTTTTCTAAAATCCTACCTCGATACAAAATGATTTATATTATAAAACATATTATTAAATACATTGTGGAATGCTATGGTATGTGCTACTTAAATTATAGAATAAAGTACCTGTCGAGGTTT